TGTGTGTGTGTGTGTGTGTGTGTGTATGTGTGTGTGTGTGTGTGTGAGGGGGGGGGTCAGACTGAGTGGCATTAGTGCAATTCACGAGGCATTTTTCACCGTATCGGTGCAGAGGGGAAAAGCCACTGAGCATGTGTTTTCACATCTCCAGAGCACACTGTGAGTTTTTTCTCCTTGGCCGCACTTTTATTATGGTCACTGAACCTCTCACGGCCTCTGCCGAGCGGCTCCAGGATCAGTCGGCTGCGGTATTCACAACCCTCAATTATGTGTGCGGCGGCTCCAGCGACGGGCCTCGCTTTGCTGCCAGGTTTTTTTTTTTTAATCGGCCCGAGCAGACGGCATCGCGCCGCCATGTGCTAATGTTCAAAACCGAACTCTGGTCTCTGGCTTAGCATCTCAGTGCTACTGGGGAGGGTGTCACAGTTTTTTTTTAATGATAGCAAACAGTCAGGTTTGCTGCACCGGCCAGAATGTGGTCGCAGACGCACATAAACAGATTCCCATTTCTCCTAAACATCCCTGAAAAGCAGCCCCAGATCAGCCCGGAAACTTGGTCGTAGATCATTTTTGTGGATCTGATTGGTCCATTCACCGGCTGTTTCTGCACACTTCTGCACACTTTCAGCAGAGGGATTTATGAACGACTCAGTTTCCTCTTATTTAATACCTGTCCAGACAATAACCCAAGTCAGGGAAACCACCTGACCCTCTCAAGCTTTTTTAACTTCCGATACGATACCAATCCCGGCCTATCAGAGCATGTATTAAAGTCTAAAGTTATTTAGCCTACTTACTTAGTTGTCAGACTCATGTTGAACAGGGATTTACTCTGATAACAACTTAATGGTTAGGACACAGACCTGTGGTTACAGATGTTAATGCTAATGCTCACGTGGGATCGGACTTTAAAAAAAAAAATGGATCGGGAGTCTGGATCGGCATTTTCTCCTGCCGGCTGGTTTGCATTTTTCTGCAAAACGCTCATTGGGAGCTTTCTTTTCTTCTCAGAGCGGCTGACTCTGTGGTGCTACTGGAAGGAAAGGCTAAGGAGCCGTTAGCTGGGATGTTTTGGACTCCTGTTTTCTCCGCTCAGTGTGTGTAACTCTGTGTCTGCTGTGTGTGTTCCAGGCTGGTGAAGGACGCCCCCTGGGACGAGGTTCCTCTGGCCCACTCGCTGGTGGGCTTCGCCACGGCCTACGACTTCCTGTACGAGTACCTGAGCAAAGGGCAGCAGGAGCGCTTCCTGCAGGTGATCGGCAACGCCTCGCGCCTCATGTACGAGAAGTCCTACGTCCGGGGCTGGGGCTTCCAGTACCTGCACAACCACCAGCCCACCAACTGCGTGGCCCTGCTCACAGGAAGTCTGGTCTACATGACCCAGGGTGAGTTCCCGGGGCCTCCTGCCGTCCGCAGAGCCCCGAGTTGACGGCAGTCCTGAACCCTTTGTGTTTAGCTGTAGAAGATCTGAAGAGCAGGTTTTCAGTCTTGATTAGGCTGGTCCCGATCCGATATCTGGATCGGATCGGCCGCCGATATTTGCAAAAAAATGCAAATCGGCCGGCAGGAGAAAATGCTGATCCAGACTCGAAATCCATTTTTTTAAAAAGTCCGATCCCACATTAGCATTAGCATCTGTAACCCACAGGTCTGTGTCCTAAGCTTTAAGTTGTTATCAGAGTAAATCCCTGTTCAAAATGTGTCTGACAACTAGGTAATTAGGCTAAATAATTTTAAACTTTAATACATGCTCTGATAGGTCGGGATCGGTATCGGATCAGAAGTTCAAAAAGCTGGATTGGGACATCCCTAGTCCTGATGTCATTTTCTATTGCTGATACTATTCAATAACAGTTCCATTCTGAAACCTGATGAATAATATTACTTTTAGAGCGCTGCTTAGCTAAGCTCTCTCTTAACAGAGACTTCCCAAGTTTTTTAAATGCGTGACGCTTCATGAGCAGAAAAACCATCCCGGTGCCAGTTTGAAATGATTGTGAAACAGGCAAACTTCTTAAAGGTCCCGGCTGTGTTGGGAAACCCTCTCTGGCTCTGGGTGGGAATGTGGCTCCTCAAACGGGGGTTAAAACAGCAAAGTCTGATTCAGAGCACTCCTGGTGCTCTATATCTACCGTAAAGAGCTTTTCTTTTTAGTTTTTGCAGCTTTTACGGTGCACTTACGTCCATGAAACCTCAGATAATAGTTATTCTCATTTTTTGAAAATATTGCCTCCTGTTTTTCATCACGAGAGGCAGAGACAATCTTGGATGAACAAGGACTGTAAACATGTAAATGAGCTGTTGGGACTTTGGATGGGGTCTGGCTAAACGGACTCACTTTGGGGGCCAGTTTAATCGAAAAGGTGTTTTTTGGTAGCCACCTCTCTTTGGTGTCATGTTCAGGTTGTTTGTGAGTTCCTTTTTTTGGTGACTTTAATCCCTTAATTGTGAGTTTTTCATTTTCTGTTAATTTGTAAAACAAGTTTACCTTCATTTACTGATATGACAAATCTTTAGTAGTTTTTCTGATGAAAATGGGATGAATTGGACATCCTGTGTGGTACTTAGCATGATCACTGCTTATAAGTGAGTAAATACACAATGTATATCATCCAAAGGGGATCTTAAAAAGTTCTGATGTACTGCTGGCTTTTTCTAGAAGGGTTTTGTGTCTGGAACAAAGGTCCAGTCATAATGTCAACTAAATGACAAACTAAGCAAAAAGGACAGTAGTAGTCATCTTTTCCAGAACCCTCTGCTTTCCATGTTCTTAGTTTGGTCGCTGTTGTATCTTTCCAGTCTCAGTTTTTCTTTCTTAGTTTCTTTCGCTCGTTTTTCTTGTCAGTTTCCCTTTAACTCAGTTTTCTCAGTCTTTTCTATTCGTTTAAAAAAAAATCTTTTATGATACAATTTAGTTTGACAGCTTTTAACGGTTTTGTACTTTGTTTAGTGACTTGTTTTTGTCTTTCATGGCCATTTTCTGGCTTGAAAGCATAAGCATCCTGATAAATGCTTGATTTTAGAAGGCTAGAAAACGTTCATTAGAAGGGAATGCACTGCAGAAGCTGGACATAACCCCATTTGAAGTTGTGCATCCTTTACTCCTTCTGCAATAAAAGGACATTCAGTTCAGATAGTGTACCCAGACGTCTGGGAGTGTTTCCATTATGGAAGAGCAGAGGTGAAACGCAGGTTTTTCACATCGTGCTGTTTGAGTTGAAGTGAATATTTAATGTGCTCACAATTGGATTTTATGACATATGTGGAACCATTCAATTACTAAGTTTGTTTTAAAAGTGCTCCATCTTCACATCATAATACATCTTAGATTTTAGAACATACTCATCACCGAGGATTTTTAAATTGCTACAATCTCAACCACTTTCTTGGTATTTGGACTGTGATGGAAGCAAACACACTGTAGAACAGAGGCCACAGAAATGCTTTGTAGAGTAACTATTTAACCACACACTTCCACCTTGAAATCCTCTGATCAGAGTCATCCAGGTCTTTATTCCTTTAAGACATGACTGAAGTTTGATTAGCTGATTGTTTTCACATGGTTACATATTGATTCTATGTTGAATAATGCTACCTAAAGGAAACAGATATAAAGAAAAAATAACCGGTCCAAACACAGAACCCTGAGGAACTCAATGATTACTCCGCTGTAGGAGGTAGATTCCTCATTTACATAAACAAACTGGTAGCTATCAAACAAATATTACTTACATCAATCCCCATTAATGCCAATAACATGTTCAAGTCTCTGCAACAGTTCTTGCTCACTCAATCAGTGATGAATAATAGGCACTTCTAGCTTTATGATAGGCTTTATTATACTCTATTAGACTATCTTTCCAGAACAATTGAGGCTCTAAAATTAGAAGAGTACCATATTCTTCCCCGCTTTCTTGTAGTCTGCCTCTAAAAATCTGAGTTATTAAACCAAGAACCCAGCCTCTCCTGACTGATCACCTCCTTTTCCGGCGGGGTAATGTTGTCCAACGTCGCACACTCTGACCTTTCAGTGTTAACAACACAGTCCAGCTCTGCTGGAGTAGAGCTCAAGAAGCTGGCCGCTGCTGTATTAACACAATTAAGAATATGAGTGGAAGCACTTGAGATGCCAGCCTGAGGTTCCACATGGGCTGTATTTATATAGGACCGTTTTAGTTTTTGCCAACTACCCAAAGCTGTTACACCACATTCACCCAGTTACAGCATTCACATATCATCTGGGGAAGTGAGACTTGGATAGCTGAGTCTGGACAAATGACTGCTCTTCTTCCTCACCTACAGACAACCACACTTAGAATCTTTGTCTGTCACAACCAAAGTCATTGACCAGTGAGGAGCACGGCTGCTCAGGAGGAGCCCGGGAGACCCCCCGGTTCCTGTAAATGTGCCCTTTGTTCCTGCTCAGAGTTCATGTCTGATGGTAAATACCTGCTCAGTTCTGGCCCTACGCCGGTGGGACGGATCCAGGGGGAGCACCGGGATTCCTCCATGAACCGCGGCCAGTGTTAATGTAGCTGCTTGTTTTGATAGTAAATTCTGAGTGGGAGTGTACACACACGGAGCTGTGTAGCACAGTGGTGGCACGCTTACTCTGGCCCCAGCAGAGAGTTTGTCAAAAGGGGCAAAGGTGTGTGATGGTAACCCATAGAAAGATGCTTTTTTTCCCAGAGTGAAGTAACATCACACATATTCAGAAACTCTGCCAAAACCTTCATTTACCTGAACACTGGATACAACTGAAGGCAGATCTGACATCCACTGGGATTGAAGAAGGTTCAGCTGCTTATTCCCAGATACTGTGTGGGATTTCTGTGTTCTAGGTTACCTTCAGGAGGCTTACCTGTGGACCAAGCAAGTCCTGTCCATCATGGAGAAGTCCATGATCCTCCTGCAGGACGTGACCGACGGCTCTCTGTACGAGGGGGTGGCCTACGGCAGCTACACCACCCGCTCTCTGTTCCAGTACATGTTCCTGGTGCAGCGCCACTTCGCCATTGACCACTTCAACCACCCCTGGCTGCTGAAGCACTTCGCCTTCCTCTACAGGACCATCCTGCCTGGTAACTATTGTCTTACGTCCTGTGACGGATCCCCGTTTTAAAGCTGTGAGATTTGAGGAGACGTTTTTAATGAAATGGATATATTCAGGCAGATGGAGACAGAATAAGTCAATTATCTGTAATGAAATCTTTGTTTTGCTATGAATGGTTGCAAGATCCATTCTTTTTTGATCTTTAGGCTTTAGAGTATTATTTCAGAATCAATCAAAATCAATCAATTGTCAGTAAAAGATATTGTTGTTTAAAAACTCTCTTCTAAAATTTTAAAATCTTTAACCATTTAAAGCCTCATCCAAGAAAAAATATCGATTTTTTTTTATATCAGTCTTTATGTGGCTGTTAAACAAAATATGAAAACAAAATAATCATTTATTACCATGCGATAAGTCTAAAATATCGTTGTGCAGTCTTCTGCCCGCTGCTATCAGGTATATCTGATAGTGTCCAACAGGGTTTTGAGCAAAGTTTTTACGTTAAATGACACCAAAGGTCTCAGATCCAAAACATTTCTGAAACTCTATGTATGAAATACACGGGAATGTTCTCTGAATGGCCGGGTCAGAGCTCAGAGTGTGGGTCCAGCCTCCAGCAGCTGTGAATAAGGTCATTTATGTCTGTTGAAGAAGAGCCAAAGGTGGTCCTGACGTGGCCGAGGCTATGGGCGGGACTCTGTGGAGAAGGACTTTTGATTCGCTTCAAAGACATTTGGGAGATCTGCTCACAAAAGGAAAAAGGGGACAGTTCCAGGTTGTGCAGAGAGCTCCGGACATTGTGGGACTGTTCTATCATATGGAGGGCAGACAGTAGAGGGCTGTCTGAATGCTTGATCAGTATGGAGCAGTATGGTTTTGCCCATTTGAGCAGATCTTCAGCCTGACTGGTTTAATTAAAGAACCATGGGCATGCTCTTCTTTGACCTCCTGAATGCCTCTCCTCCTGCCTGGACTGCAGGTCGGGCTCTTGGTTTCTTTCAGCCACGAGTGGTTTGCAACTCCACACCCCCCCCCCCCTCCTGCCAGCGTCACCTGACTCCAGATAAGTGGAGGAAAATAACTGGATGGAAGAAGTCAGTTGACACAACAATAGTGGACGGATGATATCAGTGTTCCCTAGAAGTTTAATCGAATTAATTAATGTGGTAAATTCCAAACCTACTGTTACCTAGCGCTAAAAGGCAAACCAGTTAAAGAGAAAAACACACATACAAATGACGGCGACGGTTCAGGCTGGTGTGGCAGCTGAGATAGATAGAGGCAACTGTCAGTGATGGAATAAATGACACCCAGACACAAAAGCAGTAACTTCACTAATAGGGTTGTTTTAAAGAAAACCTTCAGAAAACCAGTTACACAACATTTAAAAAAAACATCACTACATCATTTTTCTTTTTTTCCTCTCTTTTGATTGTTTTTCGCCATGGAAACAAAGCTGTTTGGAAAATAATTTACATGTCAGTAGTTGGGGTTCTGTTAGGCTTTTTTGGGACTTTGTATTTGGGTTTTGTTTCCCTTGACTCATCCCTCTGAGTTTATTCGTCTTATTAGAGTTTAGTCTTGTGTATTGTGTTTGTATGTAAGTTTGTAGCTTATGTTCTTTTTGTCAGAGAGGTACTCAAGGCAGGACCCAGATGCAGAGATTTTGAGGCAAAAACTTTCATTGAAAGGCAAAGTACAAAATAATAATCCCTCTGACAACGAGGCAGACAAGGCTAGAAACAAAGTATCAAAAAATAATCTCTCTTTCGAGGTAAATCAAAACTGAGGACAAAGTATCTAAACAATATTCGCTCTGAAAAACAAGGATGACAATAGGCTAACAAGTACACAACAATGGTCGCTCGATAACGAGGATGTGAAGGGTACTACTGTACAAAAATAACTCACTTTGAGGAGGAACGGATGGGAAGGGTTCAGGACTAGGTTTGTGCACAGTTTTGGTCATAAGTCGAAACCCACTGACACCAGACAAGGAGAGACTATTTAAACACAGGAAGGGAACCCCAGGGGAACACAATCAGGGATCAGGGGAGACAACCAGACAGGTGACACACAGGGAAGTGCAAGTGACCTGGAACAAGGGGATGTACCTTTCAAAATAAAACAGGAAATGACAAGACCACGACCAAGACATGACAAAACACAAAATCACTTTTGCTCTCTGAGTTCCTTACTTTCTCTCTACATGTTCTATTTTCTGTGGGTTACGCCCTCCCCCATTTTCCTATGCTGTACGTCTGATTTTGAGCTTTCTGCTTCGTTATTATGGAGTTCTGTCCAGCTTCCTGTTACCTGCTCCTCTTTTCCTCAGTGCTTGTCCATCCCAGTCATCAGCTCCTGGCCTTCCACCTCTGGTCCCTATGTCACCTGACCCTCACTCAGTAATCACACTGCCCTCCATTTAGGCTCTCTGGTTAATTCCTCCTTTGTCCCTGCCGTCTATTCCTGCCTGTTTCCTTCAATTCAATTCAATTCAATAATTTATTGTCATTGTCAAAAAAGGCAACGAAATTGTGTTTGGGATACAACATTTAGTAGCAGCAAGTTCCAAGTAAAGTGCACAAGAGGTAAAAGTGACACCAGTGCTTGACCCCCCCAGCCCCCCCCTCCATCCCACTTAAAGTGCAGCAAAGTTTATTAAGTGCCATAATGCTTGCCCCCCCCAACACACACACACATACACACACACACACGCACACACACACACATACACACACAGGATAAATACACCCTAATGAATAAGGCAAAACATTCAGAATTAGGCAGTCCGTTCCTCAAAAGTGCTGTGAGTTCAAAAGTCTTATGGCCTGGTGGTATAGGCTGTTGGCCAGTCTTTTGGTCCGGCTCTGAAGGGACCTGTACCTTCTACCTGAGGGTAGAAGTTGGAACAAGTGATGGGCAGGATGGTGGCTGTCACGCATGATGTTCTGCACTCTCCGTAGACAGTCCTTCTTTTTGTACGTCCTACGCCTGTTTCCCGGGCCGTCATCTTCTCTGGAGTCTTCCTTCTGGTGCTTCTACGTTGCTGTCCATTTCTGGGTTTACCTCTTTGTCTCTAGGTTGTCTTTGTAGTTTTAGGATTTTGGTCTTTCAAGTTTAGTTTGAGCTTTTTTATCTGGCACTACAGCACTTTTTGTTGCGTTGGTGTGATAAACCCTTTAGATCTTCTGGAGCTCCTCGGGTCTCCTGTTTCCTCTGGCCTTACATGGTGTTTACACAGTGATTTCATGAGAAATAACAGATTGGAAGCAGCCTTCAGTGAGGACTGTAATGTGAGACTGGTGTTAAAAGGAACTCCCCTTTTCTTTATTTTTTCACAAAGCCTTTCCCTTAGCGGGCCTCCACTGTAGCTCTGGTTCATGGACTCATCGTTTTACAGATGACTGACCCTGATTACAAGACGTAGCCCCTAAACCGATCTCTGAGAACCCTCTCAGAAGCAGCACAAGCTTTTTCTTACATAATTACAGTCTGCAGAACAGTGCTGACAGCTTGTGCTTGTAAATGTACGCTGACTGTGCACTTTGGAAATCATTCGACAGAAAGAGGCATTTCCATTTTATCCTCTACAAGCTTCTCCCTCTACTTGAGCATTGGGGTCATATTTATCCATTTCTTATCACAAGTGCATTGTTTCTGTCCTCAGCTTCCTTTAAGAAGTCCTCTCTGTTTGTTCTCAGGGTTTCAGCGGACTGTAGCCGTGGCGGACTCCAACTACAACTGGTTCTACGGGCCGGAGAGCCAGCTGATATTCCTGGACCGCTACGTCCTGCGGAACGGCAGCGGAAACTGGCTGGCCGACCTGATCCACCAGAACCGGGTGCTGGAGGGGCCCGGCCAGGCCGGAAAGGGCCAGCGCTGGTGCACGCTCCACACGGAGTTCATCTGGTAGGCGGTCAGCGGTTGACCATATTTAGTCAGTTACCCGACGTACAGACATACACATTTTTAAGAAAAAAGTCAAATAAAGCTCATAACTTTCCATTCAGAAACATCTCGTTGCAGTCTACGTTGAACAAATTCTTGGCTAGCTCCTTCTTGTTCAGGGTCTGACTCTGGTTCAAACATATAAGGTTGGACCAAAATGTTGCCTCCAGCTGCTATCTTTCTCCCACAGTTCATGTTCAACTGTTGTCATGGTAGCGTTAGCATGGTAGCGTTGGCATGGTAGCGTTAGCATGGTAGCGTTAGCGTGCCGACGTGGGCACACCTCCCTGAAGAAGTGGGCGGATTGCCTGTGTCTCATTTGCATTTAAAGAGACAGGCACTCCAAAGCGAGCGCTCTGAACGGGGCTGTTTTGGGTTAGGGTTAGGGTTAGGGTTAGGGTTAGGGTTAGGCAGGGGGACTGAACTGCTATTGGGCTTCATCCTTATGGGATTCTGACCAAAGCTTGTCACAGACATTACATTAGGACACCAGGGAGCTAGCTTAACTTGTTGAAATAGGGTATGATATGACTCTTCTTTCTCTGGTTTGGGGGAAAGGAAAAAGAGACAGGTGGTAGTTGACTACCAACAGGAGTATGATATGGTGGCTGAGAAGTGCAAAACACATTTACAATTAAAAAAAGAACGTTGAAAAATTAAAAAACAAAATAACATTGTAAGATACACATTCACAATTAAAGAAACACATCCATACATTTTGTGAACTGCTTATTCCCAAATCGGTGACATGAACAAATGAAAAAACAATATAGCATTTTAAGAAACAAATTCATTTTTTAGGAGACAAACATTTTTGAAAAAAATTGTTTCTTAAAATGTTATGTTTTTTTAATTCGTAAATGTGTTTTCTGAACTTTAGATGTGTATCCTAAAATTTTATTCAGCTTTTTTTAAATCATAAGGTGTTTTTTAAATTGTAAATGTGTTTTGCACTTCTCAGCCACCGTAGGATGAACCTGTGGCTGAACTAGAAACAGCCGGGGGGGTTCTTGGAGGTCACATTTAGAAAAACCCTCTCAGGTGGGGTGGTTCATGGAGGGAGGACTCAGGTGCGGAGATGAGGGAAAACAAGGTTTATTGTAACAAAAGACTCATGACGAGTGAATGTCCAGACAAAGTACGAATCAAAGCTGTGGAAAACTGTGAGCAAAGGCAAAGTAACAACAATAAAGAACAACAAGACTAAGGCAAAACTATGACGGACAAAGTTACAAAATAAAGATTAACAAGACTGTGACAAAACTGTGACTATGACAAAAGCAAAAGACTATGGCAAAAGCAAACCTGGCGTGGGGGTGACGAAAGACGGACAAGAACGCACTCGCACAAGACAAGGGGAAACGAGGACTATTTAAACACATGAGGGAGGGGAACCCCAGGTGTACACAATAGGTAATCAAGACAAGACGAGACACCAGACGTGACAAACCCATACATTATTAAGAGGCGTGGCCTCCCTGAGTTGGTCTGTTCAGAGCAGTATTTCCTCTCATGTCCCCCTCTCCCTGACCCGTAGGTACGACCCGGTCCTGGTCCCCAAGCCCCCCGCGGACTTCGGCACGGCTCAGCTGCACCACTTCGAGGACTGGGGGGTGGTCACCTACGGCAGCGCGCTCCCCGCGGACACCAACCACTCCTTCCTCTCCTTCAAGTCCGGGAAGCTGGGCGGGCGCGCCATCTTCGACATCGTCCACCAGAACAAGTACAGCGAGTGGATCAAGGGGTGGCGGAACTTCAACGCGGGCCACGAGCACCCGGACCAGAACTCCTTCACCTTCGCCCCCAACGGCGTGCCCTTCATCACCGAGGGGCTGTACGGCCCCAAGTACACGCTGCTCAACAACGCCGTATTGTTCGCCTCCCCCCTCCCCGGGACCTGCTTCCAGCCCTGGGCCGGACAGGTGACCGAGGCCTGCGACTCCAAGTGGCTCAAGTACAAGGCGGGGCTGGCGGCGGACGCCCAGGGCCGCGTGGAGGCCGCCATGAGGAGGGAGGGCGTGGTCTTCGTCCGGGGCGAGGCCCGCTCGGCCTACAGCCCCGAGCTGAAGATCCGCAGCTTCCAGAGGAACCTCTTCCTCCTGCACCCGGAGCTCCTGGTCCTGGTGGACCACTTCCACCTGGACCCCGGCAGCCCCGCCTGGGCCATGAGCGCCTTCTTCCACAACACCGAGCTGCCCTTCCAGGCCACGCAGGTGGACGGCGTCCACGGGGCCTTCGTGTCCCACGGCCAGGACAAATACAAGATGTTCTGGATGGACGATACTAGCCACAGCAGCAGGGGGGCCTCGGGGTACTGGACCTACCCCCGGGGCTACCCCTACAACGGCTCCAACTACGTCAACGTCACCATGCCCCTCCGGTACCCCCACACCCGGGTGGCCTACATCTTCTTCGGGCCGGGCGTGGACGTGCAGAGCTTCAGCCTGCGCGGAGACCACCAGCGGGTGGACGTCTACCTGTCCACCAAGGACCACTCCTACACCATCTACCTGCTGACCGGCGAGGTGGTCGGCAAGCCGCTGTTCGCCATGGTGCTGCTGGACCGCAAGAAGGTGGTGTTCGAGCGGGCGGCGGCGGCGGGGGGGGCGGGGGAGGAGCGCCCCCTGGAGGAGGTGGAGGAGTACGTGGGCCTGCTGGAGGACCGGCTGCAGCACGTGAAGCCGGTCTTCCAGCAGATGGAGCGCCACGTCCTGGGCCGGACGCTCAGCGCCGCCAGCTTCCGCAAGACGGCCGAGCGCCTGCTGCAGTCCGCCGGCCGGAAGAAGGCGCAGGGGGCGGGGCCGAAGATGTCCGCCATGTCCGGGAGGCGCGGGCGGGCCCGGGCCGGCCCCCGGGGGGGCCTCCCCGAGGGCGTGCCCGACATTTTTGCACAGATCGAGGCCAGCGAACGCAGGGAGAGACAGAGGGCCGGCGGGGGGGCGGACCAGGACGGCCCCGAGGAGGGGGGGGGCGACTCCCGCGCCTTCCTGGACTACAGCGATGGCCGCCGGGGCCGCAAGCCCCCCCCGCTCAAGGGAGGCAGCTTTAAAGAGGTGGGGGGCCAGGGGGGGGGCGGTCAGGGGGTGTCCAGCGCAGCCTCGTCCATCCGCCTGTTCCTGCTGCTCAACACGGCCACCTTCTTCCTGCTGCTGGCCCTGCTGCTGACCCGCGTCCAGCGGGCGGCCAGCCTGCACACGCAGAGGTGCTTCTACACCGTCCTGCTGATGGACAGCTTCATCCTGCTCCTCCTCTACTCCTCCTGCTCACACAGCCAGTGCTAGCAGCGGGCCCCCCCCCCCCACCTACCCCCCCCACCGACCCCACCACTGCCCACTCCCCCCCAGACCTTCAGGGCCACGGTTCAGAAACGTCCAGGAAACACAAATGAGAAGATTTCAGTTTGGAGGAAGAGAGGTCAAACGTTTTAACAGAGAAATACAGGTACATCTGAACATGTAATTGTCTAAAAATATTTTTAAAAATCTTTCTAAACACGGTTGATGGTAAACTAAGAACCAAAACATTCATTCTTATCGTCACATTCTATATTACGGCTGACTTGATTCCTCACAGAAAAGCCAAAAAAGCCCCAAAATACAGAGATACAGGATGTTTTAGTTTTCTTTTTATATGACAGAATATCCTCTCACAAAATCACCGTCTGGTTGCATTGATATTCTATAAGAATTATTATTTTAGGAAGACTGGATGTCATAAAATAATCATCCACTCAAAAACCCAGGATTTCCCCCCTCAGGATAACTTTAATATCTAGTCAAATCAGAACTGCTGTTATGATTTTCATGGATGGACTTTTTAAGTCAGTTGTGAGCTTATTAAAAACACATTTCTCCTCCATAGACTGCAGCAGATTTGACTCTTGTAGCTTTAAATCAGTAAATGACCTGTAAAGAACCACTTTTCCAATATTTTGCTATAATATAGTTTCTGTTCTCAGTTCGGTTCAATATTACTCTAACTATACTCTACAGTTACTGGATAGTGTTTATCTCTTGGCCTTTCCAAGATACAGTCCAGTTCTTTTTCAAGTTATTTCATTTGAAGAGTTTTATAGACCGGTTTTACCATAAAGTTCATGACTTATTATACTTATTAAATTGCTAAACATTTTTGATTCATATTCATAATTTATTCTTATAAATTGAAATGCTGCCTTAAACACAGGGATTTGAGCTTTTCCTGTCCATTATCCATCTACAACTCATTATTCTGACTGACCTCAGTTCCGGTCAGGATGCGGATGTCCGGATTAGTGGCTACAGCGGCCAGACGGCGTTCCTGAAATCTCTAATATCGTTTTTAACAGTGGCCTTAAGTCTGTTTGGACCCGTCCAATAAGGATTCGGTCAGGAACAGCACCTGAAATACTAGAGAGAGGAAATCAGACCTGATTGGCTCTGAGACTGAGAACCCACCGTGTGTGTCTGTGTGTGTGTGAGTGTGTGTGTGTGTGTGTGTGTGTGTGTGTGTGTGTGAGTGAGTGTGTGTGTGTGTGTGTGTGTGTGTGCGTGCGTGTGTGAGTGAGTGTGTGTGTGTATGCATGTCTGTGTGTGTGTGAGTGAGTGTGTGTGTGTGTGTGTGTGTGTGTGCCTCTGCTGGGGACACCAGGTGTGTGGTGTTTCCTGTTGTCCGGCCTTTTCTCAGAGCCGGTCAGCAGAATCTGGTCTGAGCCATCAGCCTTTCACAATCTGAAGATTCCTGCCAATATCTGGTGATTCCTGTCCAGATCTGATTATTCCTTCCAATGTCTGATTATTCCTGTCCAGATCTGATTATTTCAGTCCAGACCTGGTGATTCCTGCCAATGTCCGAAAATTCCTGCCCAGGTCTGATTATTCCTGCCCAGATCTGATTATTCCTGTCCAGATCTGATTATTCCTGCCCATGTCTGGTGATTCCTGCCCATATCGTTCA